TATTATGAACCAAAAATTGTTTCTTTAAAAATTTGTATTCTTACTTTTTTATCTTAGGACATAAAACTCTTTGAAATGAATTTCTGTACAAAATTTGAAGTCAATTAGATAATTACAGCTCCTGTAATTTTTGCCAAAAAATAGAAATATAAAATAGAGAAAAACGCATATAAAATTTAAAATATTGAATATACAAACTTATAAAATCTGGTTAAAAATTCCTTTTTTATATATAATGTCCCTCTTCATCATTGTATTTTTCATTGAGCCCTTTACTAACTGCTCCAAGTTTTTTCTTTGTTTTTTTAACTTTTTATTTTTACTTCTAACCTTAACTAGCCGTTACTATGAACGTTGCTAGGGGAAACAAAATAACCCTACTAAAATGAATTACTATTATCAGTTCTAAATTTTTTTCTCCCATATAAAGATTTATATATTTTTAGACTCTGCAACAGATACTGTTAATAGCAAGTAATGTGACATTTTTGATATCAATAAAGGGACTGTTCATAAAGCTACGCTCCAAGAAAAAAAGAGGGGATGGGTTCGTAGGTATTTAAGGTTTCCTAAATATGACGTCGCAAAAAAGATTTTAGTAGGGTTACTTATTTACTAATTCAAATAAAAAAATGTTTATACGAAAATGTTTGTACAAAAAATTATGTTTGTACGAAATATTACTTAAACTTCATGTATTTATTTGTATTGCTGTATTTTAAATTGTTTCAAGTTTGAAAACGCAACATCGTATTTACGTAACCAAACATTCCAAAGCATAAAAATGCTCATAAATACTTCGTTTCCGGTTGTATATAACCAGCTTTATTTCTGTTGTTATTAACGGCTTTGGTTTTGTTATTTTTTTATTTTTTTTTTTGTTCTTGATAAACATACCTTAATTCAATTATATTATTCGTTAATTAATTGCCATATCAACTATGCAAACATTGCTTGGGGTAGCAGTTATAAAAGTAAACTTAAACCTCTCTAATGGCAACAGAAGCATGTAGCTCGCTTTATAAATTTCAAGGACGGTTTTGTTCACGCCAAGCCTTTTTTATATGATATGAAAAAACTCAATATATATGATTTAAATGTTTTAAATATTTTTTGTTTAATGTATAAATGCAAGACCCACCTATCTTTCCGTAACTTGTATCTACAAAGAGATAGAAGTAAATATATTTTAAGGAACGATAATTTAATCCGGCAACCATTTCTCAAACTAATTTTGGAAAATATTTTATTTCATTTCGCGGACCATTTTTATGGAATATACCCGCCAGGAAATCGGCTAGCGAATAGCTAGCTATAATCGTTACGATAAAAACAGCGATTTGGCCACGAGGATCGCTAGCTTTTTTAAGTTAGCGAAAAGCTATCGATATTTTTAAAGATAAATACAGCGATTTGGCAACGAGGACAGCTAGCTTAATAAGCTGAAATTCCACTGGCTATTGTACCTAGCGTTATATCGTAATAAAATCTTTGTCCAAAAAAATTTGATATGTAGCTATCAACCAGATATAGATTTGTAGATATTTTGTAGCTAGCTACAAAGCTACGATTTGTAGCTAGCGACATACTGCTACAAAATTGCAATGTTTAAAGTTCAATTATTTTCATAATTATAATAGACTCACCACTAAAAATGGAATTTTTAAAGATGTTAAAGACATTTGCAAAAAATAAAACAAGAAAAAAAAAATCGCTTGAAAATCGCTATAGAGCTAGCTAGTCGCTAGCTCATTTCCCACCGGGATATATTCTTTTTTGATTTTTCTTAAGAATGTAATTTTGAATCTTTTAAAGAAAAATTGTAAAAAAATCATTTTTTCAACTGAAAATATACTAATCTACTTTTAAATTTTTAAAAATCCCTTATCTATATTAGTATATGTATATATTTAATATGCATTTTTTTTTATTTATTTATTTTTTATTAACAAGCAATTAATTTAACATGTTTTATTTTAGTGAATTATTTGTTTTAGTTTTTAAGTTTTAGAACTCTTCTATGATAATATTGTATGTTTATTTATAATATTATATTACGAACTTTATATACTTTTGTTATTAAATTTAATTTTGTAATAAAAAGAAGTTCAACAAAAATAAATAAATACAATGAATAAAAACATTGAAAAATTGAAAAAAAAAAAAAAAAAGTTTTAATTTCTTCAATCTTCATAATTATATACGCATAACTAAATCTTTCATAATTATATACACATAACTTAATATACTCATTATGGAGTTTATTTAATTTTGAAACAAAAAAGTTTTGGCACAAACTTAAACTGAAATTTAAATAATGTTAGAAATTATATGTTAGATCTATTAAATACGTTATAATATTGTCAATTAAGTCTATTATAAAAAAATAATAATGAAAATATAATTAAAGTCCAGATCAAATTTTTTTTCTAACTTGTCAATATTGCAACACACCTAACTTGTCAGTATGACATCATAGGAAGAAGTCATCATTTTCATTAAAACAAGCTATAATGTCTGCCTTGTTCAAAAGATAAAATTAAAGCAAGTATTCCACTAAAAGCAAAAAACTTATACAATACAAAATGCATGAAAATGCTCGTTCTGCACAGTTAATAATAAAATTACAATCTTAAATGGGAGGGAATAAAACTATAACAGCACATCCCAAAAATTATTTTTGTTGATTATAAAAACAGTATTTTGGCAAAAGAGATGTATTTTCACTAAAACAAATGTAAAGTCAGTATATTCATATAAGTATAATCACTTTTTTATCAAAAACAATTTTTATGGAAATATGACAGATATTCTATCAAAGGCGCTATGCCCTCATAGGCGCCTTTCCCTTACTTGATGTTAGTACGCATTTTTAACAACTTGTTAACATATGGTTGAGAGCATCCAAATTTTCAAGCAGCTGCTCTTTGAGAACGCCCTGATCTATGGTTGAACATATTTTTTATTTTTTAATGTTACTTTTGGTTGCTATTTTTGGACGACCATTGGCAATTTTCCTTTTTAATGTACCGGTTTCTTTTACTTGCTTGATCCAACGATATATACCACGTTTTGAGGCTAAAGGTATAATAAGCTTTAATATTATGAACAATGAATTTGTACAATTTATTTTTTACAGTCTCGTACTTTGCCACCTTCTGAAATTTGAAAAAAAAAAAAATTAGTACAAACTTTTATTAAACTAAATTTTTATTAAATGAAATACAAGAGCTTCATTTTAAGTAACTTTCAATGTTTATAGAGTATGTAGTAAAAAAAATATATGCATTTTTGTATTTGTGCCAAAACTTAATTATTACCCCGTTATATTTTGTTGCAACGCAAAGGAATAACAAAACTTGAATAATGCAAAACTGTAAAGTAAATTTTTTCATAAACTTGTAGTAAATAAGTTAAGAACTTTGTTTAAAATTGACTCAGTGATAAAAAAAAGTATGTTGCGGGCCTTCGGGACAGCCCTGGATATTATTATTATTTTATTTATTTAACACCCAATTTACAAGGTAAAAATGCCTTATTATATCCCCTAATATGCCTTATTAGGTAAATATAGCTTTAAAAAATACGCAACTAAAAAAAACTGCACGTAATGTGCATCTTACTTTAATGAGTATTATATTTATGTCTAAATTCAGACATAAATCATAAGATATAAAAAAAAAAAAAAAACAATTTTTTCAGGTTTCAGACAAAAAAAAGAAACACTTTTTTGAGATTTCGAAATGTTTCTTTTTTTTCTTTTTGTTTTGATGAATTTTGATGGCTTTATTTTCAAACGCTTTTGTATTACGTCACGACATAACGTAAAAGTTGACTTACTCGATTAACGACGTGTTATCACTTTATAACTTTTGTTAAAAGCTTGAAGATTTTTAATTAATCATAATTAATTTAAAAGAGAGCACGAAGAGCCTTGTAGATTTTTATTCAAGTTAAAAAATTTCTTTGTTATTGTTTGCTTAAACCGTATTGAATGGGAATAAAGTCTTATTTTGTCAGACTTATCTCTAAACTTCTGTTCACCTGAAAATTTAATTCAACTATATATAATACTAGTTACTTTTAAAGTTTTTTTAAAATACTTTAAAAAAAAACTCTAACTCTAAGCATTTCTTTCAAAACAAGATACGTGTGAACACGCGTGGTATTTTTTCTTACTTTTATGTTGCGATGTGACTTAACTAAAACTCAAAAACCGTAACTAAAATAAGTCGGCTACCTTTTAAAAGAGACTAAAATTAGTATACTAACATTTTAATATAACTAAAAATATGTTACGACTTTTATGTAATAATTAATTACAAAAAAAAAAAAAACTAAAAGTTAGACTAAAAAGTTAGTCTACTAGTTTTAGTCCAACTTTAAATTTAGCTGATGAAATTTTTAGTTTAACTAAAATTATTCGACTAATTTTAGTTAAACCAAACCTCGTTTGGTTTAACTAAAATTTGTCGAATAATTTTAGTCAAACCAAACGAGGTTTGGTTTAACTAAAATTATTCAACTACTTTCATTTCTTTTGCAGAATAATTTTCGGATTTCCTTTAAATAACACTTCTGGTTATAAACAGAAATATAGCGGCGTAATTTTATTTACCCTCACGAAAATGCACATATTTACTAATGTCAAAATGATCATAACAAGATATAAGAAATATAAGAATTGATACTACAAACTGTAGCATAATTAATTAACTAGTTAACTTGAAAAAAAAAAAATTAATATTGTTTTTTTCTTGTTGTTGTTGTAGTTTTTACTTTTTTTTTTTTTTTTTGTTACTTTTACAATATATTTAAAATATTATTAAAGCCTTTTTTATATAACAAATGAATAAAAAATATTTATGTTATAATAAAAAAATAAATACAATAAACAATCACTAACGGTAGTGAAAGGACGTTTATCCGGACCGATAACCGGGTTTTAACATTGCACTACCCGATTAATAGTAACTATATCCTTTATTTTGTATCTTTAACTAATTGTAAGCGGCTTAAAATTCGGATGTCTTATAAATTATAAACAAAGTCAAATCGTTAGTAATATTGTTAATATAACGTACTGAGAAATGGTACCTGAAAATTTATTTATATGTTCTTAGCCTTATCGATGGCAGGACCTATGATGGATGCTGCATTTTTAACATATGAAGGTATTGCCATGAATTCAGTTGAGAGTAATCTTAACATGGATGAGCCTGTCTGGATTCTTGGCAAACATTTTAAACCCGATGAAGGTATTGAGCTCTATATTTAAATACTTTTAGACATTTAAATATATATTTAAATACTGTTAGAATTTAAAAACTTTTTTTTAATTCTAACATTGTTTGTTCTTTTTTTTTTTTTAGATATGGAAAAGTTCAATGCTGAGATTTTAACAAAGTTTTGGTTCACTTATAGAAGAAATTTTCACCCAATAGGTTAAATATCAATTTACAGTCTTTTTTTTATAAGAACTTATTTAACATTAGTTAACATATTATTAGTTTTTATAGCTTATTCAAGCTAATTATATTAAAGGGATATTTATTACAATTCATGAAAACCTAATTAAAAGTATTATAATAAAGTATTAATAAAAAGATTTGTATTAATAAAAATCTTTGGATGTTTAATTTCTATTAAACTTCAAAAAGAGTTTGACTCAGTAACAATTTTAATTTTAGTTTTAATTTTAATTTATTTCTCAAAAATAAAAATCAATTTGTGTTTGTAAATGGCAAAAGCCCAGGTTTTCGTGAGTACACTCTTGTGTACTCTGGGAAGCCTAAGTAACTAATATATAAATAATGCAAAAAGTAGACATAATTAAAATTTTTTTTTTTGATAATTTAAATTATATTTATTTAAGAAGGCTACTACAGTTAAAGATAATTTTTTTTTGGAAATAGTTGTTAAAGCTAATTCTACATAGGATCTGCTGGGGCTTAAACTAGGAACCTCTTGATTATTGAATGCTCTCCCATTACTATATGGGTGAAGCAAAAGTATAACAATTTTTTCAAATAAAGTTAAATTAAAATACTGTTTTAACTATAGTGGCCTAGATCTCAGATTTATTTATAGCACTTAGGTGTTAAATTTGTTTATCTAAATTTAATATTTTGCTATAAATATACCTTTTAAATATCTACTTTTTTTATTTTTATTTAATTATTGTATATAATATTTCTTATTTTTATTCATTTGATTAGAAAAACAAATATTTATAAAAATATACCAAAATTTATCAAAAATATAAGCCTAACCCTAATTCTTAATGTACTATATATACAGAAATGAAGTAAGAATATTACCAGTTGATGTCAGAGATGTAGAGAATCCAAGTTATAATTTTTTTTTAAATCGAAGCATTCAAAAATTTTTGAATTTTTTAAATTCATTTTTATTTGTATACATTTAAAATTGCTACCTTTAATGTTGCAGTATTTACCTTATTGCTGGTTTATATACGACTTATTTATAAATAATTATTGTAAAATTTATGATTGTAGGAGGCACTGGTCCAATGTCTGATACAGGATGGGGCTGTATGCTACGATGTGGTCAAATGATGTTAGCCCAGGCTCTGCTATGTAGACATTTAGGAAGAGGTTTGATTATTTAAAATGTTTGAAGGTCTATTTTTTTTTCTTTTCTAATTTTTGTTTAACTTTTAAATCTCTTGTCATATCAATTTTTTTTAATTTGCTGTCCAAATCTTTTTTGAATCTCTTGTCAAATTTTTCAATTTGTTTTTCATAT